CCCCCCCCCTTTCCCTTCCCCCTTCTCCATTCACACAAACACTCTCCCTCCCCTTCAAGGGCTTGATTGTGGTCGATAGCACTACAATCTTTTTCGAATTGTATGTGCAATCGTGGCTTGACGTAGCTTGGAGAGGCATGGCAAAGGAAGGAGGGAGGCAGGGAGGGAGGGACGGCCCATTCGCCGGAATTCAATTCCAAGTGCTGCAGGCTTAATTTGTTTGGGTGAATGCAAGATGCCGCGTCTGAGTGGCGCAGTCCCTGTGCCATGCCTGCGGTTCAGAGGGCGCTTGATCGGAGCCTCGTCGTCATCTTTTTTATTGCCGCGGCAATCATGCACCGGCCTCACCTCTCCGTTTCTTTCCCTCTGCCCTTTTTCCAAGCACCTCGCAAAGCGCTCGTCACATGGTTCCGATTGGCCTTTGACCGCCCGGCTTGGTGCGGGGATGCAAAGGTGAACACAGATATCGACGGTCTGATTGGTTGGAAGCAAATTGGTTCCTGAAAAAACCCTTTCTCTTCCACAAAACCCATTGGGTCCACTGCTTATCGTGCTTGTGCCGTTATTGGATGGTCGCGAACAATTGTCTTGGCCGGCCGCCGAATCAAGATAATGCCTGATGACTGGATTCTTTTGCACCGGTTCAACTGCGCCCAATCAGCCTCTTCCCACGTCAGCCACAGTGCACCACTTTGCTACCGGGACAATTGCTCATGCATTGGACGTGGTGAAAGGGCAGCGCGAGGAGGAAGCCACTTGTACGGCGACAAAGGGCGTAAGCGAGGGTGGCTGGATGGATGCGCTCGTGTGCCTGAGACGGATGGCCGCCTTGGTTTTCGGGCTCCGCGGCGCTGCGCTGCCAATCCGTACACTCCGCACCGCCGGCAAGGCCTCCTCACTCTGCGCCGAAAGCCCCGTGCCGCTCTGGTCTTCTAGCCGAACCGTCGCTCGTATCGCAAGACCTCGCTCCAGATACGCCGCATCCGCCGTGATTCGCCCCTCGGTTGCTGACCACCCTCGAGCCCCCCCCCCCTCGCCGGCGGACCTCCCATATATACCTCGACATCCGCATCTCTGCTTTGGGCTCTAACCCCATCGCTCCCCCCCTACGCCTTCTTCAACCTCCCCACCCCAGTACGGCCGCCAACATGGGTGTCAAGGACCTCGTCAACCGCGCCAAGAGCACCGAGATCGAGCGCACGGAGCACACCTCCAACAAGCAGGAGACGCACCAGAGCGATATCCCCGGCCAGGGTGCTCCGGGCCTCGTCCCCGTCCCCGCGCTCTACGAAGCACCCCCTCGCAGCGGTATCTCGATGGAAGAGTACATGTTCTACGCCCAAATCCAGCGTGAGCAGGAGAAGCTGTACGGTGCTGCAGGTGTATCGGTCGAGGCCAACGCTCCTCACGGTGCTGGCTACATCGACCACGCCGGCGAGAAGCACAACTCGTCCGAAAAGGTCAGCGAACACGGCACTGCGGTCGAGGCCGGCCACATCAAGCCTACCGTCAACAACACGGATGCATCCACCTTTGACCAGCTCGAGGGCCTCTCGGACCTCGAGAAGGAGAGCCGTAACGCCCACCGTGCCATCAAGACCGCCTCGTGGGTCGGTGTGTTCTACCTCATCACTACGGATATCCTCGGTCCTTATGGTGCGCCTTACGCCATGTCCCAGAATGGTTGGGTGACGGGTAACGTCATGTACATCGTCATGGGCTTCTGTGCGTGGTGGTGCGGTATTATCCTCTGGAAGCTGTTTATGCAGCTCGATTCGGCCCGTTATCCCGTCAAGACGTACGGCGACATTGGAGAGCGTGTGGTGGGATACCCCATGCGCTGGACCTTCAACGCGCTCCAGACGCTTCAGCTTATCATCAACGTCGGTCTCATCTGCCTTACCAACGGCCAGGCTCTCAGCCAGGTCATCAGAGGCGCGCCCGGAAACGCCAATCTCTGCTTCTCGGTTTGTGTCGTCATCTTCGCGCTTATCGGCATGGCCTTTGCGCAGGTGCAGACCTTCCGCGGTCTCGGTTTCGCTGCCACCACCGCGGTCTACCAAAACATCGTCATCGTCATCGTTTCCATGGCCGCCATCATCAAGTACGGTCCCTACATCGCCGGTGCCCAGGCTTCTTACGGTACCGACTACCCGTACAACAACCAGCCCGTCATGACCTCTGCGTTTGTCTCGTACGACATTACGCAAAAGGTCAACGGTTTGATGAATATGGTGTTCGCTTATGGTGGCGCCATGATCTTCCCAGAGCTCATGGCCGAGATGCGCCGTCC